CTATTGGTTGAGGCGCGGGCGAACCCAAACAAAAAAACGGCTAGTGTGCGGCGGCCTTTAGAGCAGTTTTTTAATATTAGTGGAGCTCCGGTGGCCCAAAGAGCACCATAACTATAGGAACAAAACGGCATGCATGCATAGAAATAGAAACCAGAACAACTCATTCTTCATGGTCAAGATGGCTAGCGACATGTACCGCGGGCTCGTGTGCCCAACGCGACGACGACGACGTCCTACAATATGGCGGTTATACTCCAGCTAATACCAAGTCATGCAGTCTTGGTTTACGGCGTATATCTTTGATATTGGACATCCATGTTATGGTCAATTGGCACCTGTCAAGACAAGGTATCCGCTGACCAGTATCACGTGATAATATCGGGGGCTCAGGTTTAGAGCTCAACGAGGTCCTGCGTTTTTTTTAAAGTTGACCAGTGGCCAAGTTCTAGTTTTCAAATGGATCGCGGGCTCATGCCAGGTTAATTTGTTTTAGTATATTCTCAGCTCCGACTATTGCATTTCTAGCTCTCTGATTGGCTCAAAAACTCCGACTATGAGCCATTAGTCGGAGTTTTACCTTATATACTAAAACAATTATTCCATTCGACCTTGTTGGATATGAAGTGATCATAACCAACTCGCGCTACGCGCTCGTTGGTTATTTATCACTTCATATCCAACGCGGTTTCATGGAATAATTGTTAATTAATCAAGGCCGGGTTGTTCGGAAGCCAGATAACGCTAACCCTGGATTAATAGTTAACCGAAGTATAAACTTTTCTCTGTATACAAATGTTTTTCACTGCTTTTGGGTCATGGGTGGTGTTGTTTGAGATTATTCAAACTCAAAACAGAAGGCCGACCAATATAAACAGAAAATCTCACCGCAAATTTACAAAACTCAAGTCAAAATTCTCGCTTATCCTGGGTTAGGTTATTCGAGCTTTGAGCAACCCCCCAGGGTAGAACTTCCAGAAAGGTTGGGTGGGGGAGTGCGGCCCACTTTCCAAAACCCTTATCCTATTTATGACCAAAATCTTCGTTTTTTGCTACCCTATTTATGACCTGACCAAAAATTCGATAGCTTATTTATGACCGTTGCGGCTGACAGCGTTGGCCTAAACATAAGTTGTCACAACTTATGTTTAGGCCAACGCTGAGGGCTTTTGTTGACGGTCTCATTGATAATGACGAAAAAGTACCCTAGCTTCTTCTAAGAAACATACCCAATTCAAGACTTAGAGTACAAAAGCCATACCCTTTTTATAACCAAAATGGCCAAAATTGATACCCTATTTACGCCCAAACGGCTCAAAACTACCCTTTGGGGCCACACATACCTAAAAGGCGCATATAAGGGAGTACTTTCTCCCGGGAACAACCCGGCCGAGGAACTCTTGGCTAAATCTATATATTTAACTTTTTAATCATAGCTAATGAAGAGCTGTTGCTTTCTACTTTGTTACCACCAGCCGAGCATCTCGACACTCCCTATAATAAATCGAAAACACAGTTGTTCACTCAAAAACATGAACACAGTGTTTTGCTATATCAGTAATTAATACTTGCCCACCGTTCGACACAGCAACAGAAAAAATGTTTCGATTTAGGGCAGGCTGTCCTATTATCGAGTTTAGAAATTTTCCTCCCAGTGTAAAAGCTTTACAATTTTCAGCGTCACAGACTAACAAGTTGTTAAACTTGTCAACAGCAAGTTTAAAAGATTCGCACAGCTTACCAGGCTCCTCTGTACCAAAATCATATAGAAATTCCCCTTCATTGTCAAATATCTTGACGCATTGAGCCTTGTCATAGGAGACAAAAAACCTGTCTTGATGATGTAAAGCAAACCACGGGCACTCATCGAAGCCTGGAACGCTGAGTGACTGCAGCAATTTTGTACCGTCAGGGGAGAGGACTTTGACCTTGTTGTCACCACTGTCACTCACGAGCATGCGGTCATCACAAGCAATGGTTATGGATACTGGATTGATCAAGTGTTTGTTGAAGATGTTTTTAATAAAATGACCGCTTTCAGCGAGACAAAAAATACCACCAGAATCACAGATAGTAACTTCACCAGACTTGTTGAACGCTACTGAAAAGGGACAATGAAGTTTCTTGGCGTCAAGTCCTTTCCGACCATACTCTCTCAAATAAATTCCATTCGAGTTAAAAAGCTGTACTCTATTATTAAAAGTGTCAGCAACTGCGATGTTCCCTGTCTTGTCACTTATTGCAATGCCGAAGGGGCAATCAAATTGTCCTTGTACTTTACCACCTGATCCAAAAGAACGTACGGCATGGTATTGATGCGGCTTCACGTGAACACTCCATGGACTGCTAGTCAGCGGTTGACCATTAACTTCAATCACCACGTCATGATGTCCGTCACATTCGGGTGTGTAGGTGACGTAATATTTACCATCTTCGTTGTCTGCAGTGTTGATGTCGAGGTCCTGTTCTGACGGAGTGCGAACTTTGACAACAATCTGGTCGATTTCACTGCCGCCCCTCTGAATTCTTTGTCGTGATTGTAAGGCTTGCTTCTCTTCCAGCTTCTGCCTCTTTTAAGCCTTTCCCTTCCGCCATTGATTGTAGAGGATCAGTTGTACTGACAACAACTTCACCAAGAAACGCGCGTCTAACACTCTGGATATCCTCTTCGTTTGTCTTGTATTGAACATACGATGGTTTATAAATGTTCATTTTCTTCGCATTTAGGAGACCTTTGCACTTTTCCATGACACCCTGCTGCGCTTCAAGA